AATTTGACTCGGTAGACCTTAACACAAATGACAGAATGCATAAATTGCAGTGGTGGAGCTATGGGAGGGTGCTGATGGGGAAGGGATCATAAAGATGATTAAGATGTTCTATATGAAATACACAAAAATTCAATAAAAATTTACATACACACAAAAAGAATCCTTCAGACACAGTAACAAAAAAGTTTTGAAGAGTTTATTTTTGAGGTTTGTTGTCACTGTTGTTAGTGAATTGATAACCCTAATTGGATATATTTGGAACTGCTCCAAATTCTTATTTGGGAACTGGATTGCTTTAGTGATTAAACAAAGTAAGTGAGGTTACCACCATATTCAGTAAGATATTTTTTGGCATGCAATTAATTATAATCTCATCGTAAATCCTTTTGATTTAAAGATTAATGCTGATTGTTCTTTCAATTATGGCATTCATCTTTTTAATTAAAATTGACCCAATCAGCAGATCACTGCAGAACCTCTTTTAGAAGCTGACATTAATTTACAAAGCCTATTTTAGAAACAGGTGCAGAGGCTTATGTCTGTAATCCTAGCACTTGGGAGACTGAGGCAGGAGAATTAAGAGTTCAAGGTCATCCTTTGCTAAATAGCAAATTTCAGGCCAGCCTGGACAACAGGAGACCTTGTTTCAAATCAAGCAAAACGCCGATTTTGTATTTGGAAGCTACAGGCATTATGTATTTCTTTTTTTTCTTTTATTAATGTTGATTCTGTTTCAAGTTGGTTTTTTTTTTTTTTTTGTCTTTTTTGAGACAGGGTCTCCCTATAGCCCCAGCTGTCCTGGAACTCACTATGTAGACCAGGCTGGCCTCGAACTCACAAAGATCTGCCTGCTCTGCCTCCCAAGTGCTCGGATTAAAGGCGTGCACCACCACACCCGGCCTCTGTTTCAGTTGTTAAAGGAGTCAATTCGTGTAGGTTATTACCCAATCAATTGTGAATCTTTTATAGATTTTCTTGGTCATATATTTCTCTGTACATGCATATAAACTTACATGCAAATAAACATGATTAAAAAAAAACTATCTTAACAAGAAAAAAAATCATTATGCAAGCACAAAATAGCAAAGTAATCCTAAGAATAAAGATGGAAGCATCCAAATACCTGGTTCAAATTACACTACAGAGCTATAGTAACATAAATAGCACTCTACTACCACAAACAGATACATAGGCCAATGAAATAAAACAAGAGGACCCATACATAAACTAACACGTGTATGCCCCTTAGCTTTTGACAAAGGTGCCTAAAACACATTGGAGAAAAGACAGAGTCTTCAACCAATGATGCTGGAAAAACTGGATCCAAATCTTTAACTCTGCACAAAACCAAGTAAAAATGATCTTAGTATAAGCCTGAAACTTTGGAACTGCTAGAGGAAAACATAGGGAAAGCATATCAAGATATAGTGATAGGGCTGGCAAGACGGCTCAGCAAGTATGAAATTCTCAAAAATAAAATAAAGTAAAAAAAAACTTAAAAAAAAAAAAAAAGGCGCTTGCTGCCAAGCCTGATGATCTAAGTTAAATCTTTGGGACCCATGTGGTAGAAGGAGAGAACCCACTTGTGGTGAGAATGAAAAATGCCTCCCATAGGCTCAAACATTTGAACACTTGGTTAGTTGATGGTGTTGTCTGGGAGGTAATGGAATCTTTAGGAAGTGTGGCCTTGTTAGAGGAAGCATGCCAGTGGTGGCAGGCTTTGAGACTACACAGCCTTTGCCACTTCCAGTTTGCCTCTCCCTCTGCTTCCTGTGAGATGTGAGCCCTCAGCTTCCTGCTTCGGCTGCCAGCTGCCATGCTTCTCCTTCATTATGGACTTTCCCTCTGGAAGTATAAGCCCAATACACTCTTCCTTTTATAAGTTGCCTTGGTCATAATGTTTATCACAACAACAGAAAAATAAATAATACACAACTTCTGCAAGTTGTTCTCTGATTTCTGCAGTGGCACATGCATACCCACACATATTCATACACAATCAAAATATGGGCAAATGAATTGAATATACACTTTCTAGAAGAAGAAATACAAATGGCAGTTAGTATATGAAAAATTATCCACATCCTTAGTCATCAGAGAAAAGCACACTGAAATTTCCTTAAGATTGCATTATATCCCAGTCAGCATGGCTAGTACCAAGAAAAAAATGACAGCAAATGTTGGTGAGGATACAGGAAAATGGAACTCTTAAGCACTGCTGGTGGGGATGTAAACTGGTGTAACCACTATGGAAATCAGTATGGAGGTTTCTGAAAAAGCTAAAAACAGAACGATCTACCTATATCACTCCTGAGCTACCTGAAGGAATCAAAGCACACTACAGAGATACCTACACATCCACAATTCCTGCAGCATTATTCATACTAGCCAAGATAGGGAAGCAGCCTCCATGCCCACTAACAGATACAAAAATGTGATATGTTTATAATGCAGTTTCATTCAGTCATAAAACGAATGACGTTATGTTATTTGTAGGAAAACGGATGTGGACATCATCATCGTAAGTGAAATAAACCAAACTAAGAAAAATATTACACTTCTGTCATTTGTGGAATCTAAATTTAAATGTGTGTTTGTGTGTGTGAAATTAAAGTATGAACAGTACTACACAGAGGGAAGGGTTGCCTAACAAAGTGGGTAGGGAAAGAAGAGAGGGTAAGGGGGAAAAGACAATATCTAATGTTTTTGTCTCATATGCAGAATATAATTTATATATGTATATATATATGGCATAAAGCAGAAAGGCACCACATTTGAGAAGAGGAAGAAGACCAGCAGGAAGGAGGAGGAGGAAGGGAACATAAGGGAGACAGAATTGATACATCATTAAACATCCATTATATGCCAGCTAAAAATACATCCATTACATGCAAACTAAAAATTAATAAAATGCAAAGATAAATTCAAACTGTAAATAGGTAATTAGTATAATAAAATCCAAGGTGCATAAGCACTAATCAGTGCCTGTAGTTTTAGAGCAGAATAAATCCCAATTAAAAGTATTAGAACTTTGTAATACTGAAACAGTTTTAGTAACTCTCTACTATCATCTCAGATAATCACACTATTTTACATGCTACTCTTTCTAAAATTTTTATCACACATTAACTGTAGAGTTTCAGAATGCTACAAAATAGTACAAAGAAAGTCCTGTGGTTCAACACAAAACCTAAGAAATAATGTCACTGGTACACTATTTCCAATTAGACTGCAGAGCTTACTCCATTTCAATTTTCAACCTTCATTCGTGTGTGTGTATGTGTGTGTGTGTGTGTGTGTGTGTGTGTGCATACAAAGCTCTATGTAATTTGATCCCATATGCACCATTCATATGGCCACCTGGATAAGCAAGTGCAGCACTGTTTTGTCACCACTAACAGCATTTTGCTGTCTCTCTGTATTTGCCCACTCCAAACCCAGCCATTACTTGGCATGTACACACCTATTCTCTTTCTGCCTCTTTCAACCATGGTAAGCATCTTATTATGACAACTTTTTGAAAGGTAATCCATTCCTATTATTTCTTTTACCAGTTTTACTGAGGTACATGAACTGATGGATGATAAACTGCATATACATGAAGTGTATAAATTGGTTAAGTGCTGACACGTATAAATCCTTGAAACCACTACAAAGATAGTGAACATCATCCCAGAAGATTTTTTATGCCATGCAGTTTCTCCCTCCATTTCTCCCTGTTCCGACATCCTTATGTAAGTCAACAGTGATCTGTTTTCTATCACAAAAGCTTGCATTTTATAGAACTTTATATAAACAGCATCAAAGTCTATGTTCTCTGTTTTTCAAGTGGTTTATTTCTTTCACTCAGCATAATTATTTTGAGCTTTATTCAATTTTTGCATGTATCAATAATCAATAGTTCACTTCCTTTGGTTTCTTAGTATTCAATTATCTGGATACATTACAATTTTCTTATCTAGGCACCTATTAGACACTTGAGCAGTTTTTTACTTAAAGTTGTTACAAACAGAGCTGTTATGAACACACATGTACAAGCCTTTGTGTAGATATTTCATTTATCAAGAGAACACTGACTCAGGGTCATGTGTAGGAATACCAAATGCCTGACAACTTAAAGGAAATAATTATTTATTTCAGCTCATGGGTTCAGAGGGTTAGTCCAACATGTTAGGAAGAGGAGCATGCCAGAGGAGAGTAGATCACATCATAGCAGTCAGAGAGCAGAGGGAGAGAGAATGCCTATACTCATGGGCTCTCTCTTTTTTCCCTTCTTATTCATTCTACGCCCCCAGTATCTGGGAAGGTACCACCCTAGGTCTTAACACCGTAGTTCAATCTCTCTCGAAACACACACACACACACACACACACACACACACGCATGCATGCACGCACGCACACACATATACACACATGTGCGTACACAAGCACACACACACACACACACACGCATGCATGCACGCACGCACGCACACACATATACACACATGTGCGTACACATGCACACACACATATTCCACTAGTGTAAATGCTTAAAGTATATAAATAGTGGTTTCCCACAGAAAATAAGCTAGGGTATTTTTATTTTTAAACATCAAGCAAGTGTTGATACTCTAACAAATTTTCTTTGAAAAATATTTCCGAATGTTCAATGTATTGGGACTTGTTGGATTGATATATTTCTATTTTAACAGCAACCTTTAACCAAATATTTCATTTCAATTCATCAATTCAAATTTAATTATTATTTAAAAATTTAAAATAAAAAAAAAGTTAGGTTTAGAAAATTCCATTAAGCCAACTTTCCTATGGTCAAAACAAAAATTATGAGACAGTTAGACTGACCGCTTCAATTTACATCATTAGTTTTTATTATTTGCAAAGTATCAAACTTCCCTATTACTCATATATTCAAACATTATGTTTCTGGATTGTTCCTATCCTCTAAATTATATAATCTGAAATTTGACTAAGACGTTATTTGTGTTCTTCACTTACCGAATCCTGTTTAAGAAAACTGGTTGACTCATCACTTAGAAAGGGTCTTGAGGCAAGAATGTCAATTTTGCCTTCTAGTCTTCCCTCCATTGTTTTAATAGCATTTAAAAGAGTCTTTAGAGAAATTCTGGAGTCTCCAATCTCCTGAGACATTCTCAGAGAAGGCAGGGTAGGTGCAAAAGTAACATGGCGGCGTGTGGAGCTTGGAATAACATTGGGTAAGGCAACCGCTGAATTCCTTTCCTTTACATTACTTACATAAAGCCTAGAGACTTCAAGGGATTTAGAAGATGGAGGCCTCTCTGGAGATTTCCTTTTTCTTGGAGGCATCACCAGTTACAAACAATAGAATAAAGTAAACCTAAGAACTATTTTTCAAGGAGTATCCACTTTAGTGGAGAAATAGCAGAATGTTCTAGAAGAAGCTGGAATATGTATCCTTTGGTTTTAAGATTGAGGAGATCACACTGTACAGTGTGATCTAATGAAGAAACAGGCTTTTAACCAAGTTTCCTGTAGGAGAGGAACTTTGTGACCTCATCACTCATCAGTGGAGTCAGTTGGTTAGAACCTCATGGGTGTTCTATTTGAAGACATATTCAAGAACCATGGTTATTAGGGATATATATATATATATATATATGTCACGATATAGCGGTTTTATGGCTTAAAGAATTTAAGATTTTAAAAATAATCTAATTACATAGGTGGTAAATTTGCAATCATTAAGATAAACCTCTTAAGACATACCTGAATTAAGTACTGTACTAAGTGCTTTCTCTATTTTGCTTAACATTTCTCTATTCATAAATGTTATATGGTCTACAGAAGGTGTCAGCCTCAGCAGCCACCATGCTGACACACAAGCACCTCACTAGGAATACGTCTTTCAGGTGAGCTTCTGTCTGTTGCAGGTATACCTTGCTGGCACTCAGTCCTGAGTTTGCCTATAATTCAAAAAGCAAAGATACTTGTTTCTTCCATTTGACAAAAAAAATTAAGGTTCAAACTCAAAAATCTATGAACTCTTGAAATCTATGAAAGTATTTTATAACAATACTCCTTATAAGTGCTCATTAGAACAATCATTTTTTTTTTTCCTGAAAGGCATATCTTTCTATTCTGCAATAAAGTTTAAGGAGTAACATTCCTAGATACCAAGAATGTTGAATGTTCTAATTCTGCTTCAGGGATCTTCATGAATTCCTCTGTAGCTTGGCAGAAATCTTACAAAGAGCAGGTTCTTAAAAATGTTTGTTACACTAAATCAAGAGAAAGGATATTCATCTTTCCAAGATTACATAGTAAGGTAGGGAGAAAGGCACCAAGCAAGTTCTTAAAAGTTAGAGCAGTATTAACAGCAATCTGCTTTTTGCAGACATTAATCATACCTGAGTATATTTGGCCTCTAAAGCTTTGTTCAATTTATGTAGATGGTCCTTCCATAACTTCATTTCAGTAAAGAATGTAGTTGTTCTTCTAGATGTTAAACTTTTATCTAAAAGGAAATAGAAAAGCAAATAAGTAAGCTTAATATATTTTAATGTGGGGAGGAAGATGTTATGAATTTTGCAAAAAAATTTAGAGAACCCTTGAAACTTGCAAAAAATAATCCCAAATTTTTCTAATCCTGCAAACAATTCTACTTTAACTATGAGGTAAAAGTAGGATACAGCTGTTTAAATGTGCTGAGATAATTCATTTGGTTTCTATGGCTTAAGGAAAATCCAAATGACATGATTCATGAATACGAGATTTTTTTGTAAATCTATTTCTATTTCAAATGAATTGTGGTACCTGACATTCAGTTTTTTTTTCTGAATATGAATAACTGGAATTGCCAGTGTGAAAGAAGAATACACTGTTGTGTTTTGCTGACACAGAACTATAAAGTTGAGTAGGTAGAATTCTTATATGCTGAATTATATATGAAAATGTACTCCTAAAGCCAGGCATAGTGGTACATAGTGTGATTGCAGTCCTCCAGAATATGAAGCAAGAGGATTATTGTTAGTTCTTAAAGAAAATTAGCATTTAATGAGCTAAAAAATACTGCATACTTCCTCCTTGGGTAATTCACCCTATTGCAGTCACTGAGTACCCAATAAAATGCCCTGAAGCTCACTGGCAGCGTAACCTCCTCTATGAGGCACTTTGTCTATTGAGTTCTTCATTGGCAAAAATTCTTACTCATGATATTCAAAATGGGAAAGGACATAGAAGAACAGGTCAGAAGCAAACACTGCTCCCTCTCAGAGGTCTGGTATTTTGGTGAACATTAAAATCCAAGTGTTTCTGTGACTAGCTTATCAGGCAATCTCAGGAACAGCAGTAGCTTAGGTCATAGTCATGTGATCATATTGTTCCAAGTGATCTAATTAGACATGTAGATCTCTGTAGCTATACATCTAAAAAGTTAAAACTAAAGAAACTATGAGATAGCTGATAAATAGGAAAGGACCCTCCTTTTAAGCTGTTTGTATTGTAATACAAGTATTCATTTATTAAATTTCCCAGGCACTGTAAAAATGAAATAAAGTAGAACATACCTATAATGGCAGTCCATTTATAGTTGGAAATGGGCTTCAGACTTAAAAATAACCTCAATATTGTTTTGATTCTGTTTTGAGTTTGTGGTGCTGAGGACTGAGCCAGAGCCTCTAGCATGTTAGGCAAGGCTCTATCACTGACCTGTGGCCCCAAATCCACAGGTACACATTTTGACTATACACATGAAAGCATACTCAGGAAGCTATGGTAATTTCAGTGTGACATAGAATTTTTTTTCTTCTTGAGGCCCCTACCCAGTATTCATGAGAAATCATGCAGCAATGCTATCAGAGACCTACCCTTAGCACAAGGCAAATCACATAATTGTAATGCTGGTATGAGAAGTAAACAAGACAGTACACATTGTGGGATTATGCAAAATGGACGTGCAGGTAACCAATGGGAGGTCCACTGAGAAGTCAGGATGATGATGACTTTGTGGGCACAGTCCCTGAAAGGAGGTCCTGGGTGCTAGGAATGCTCTATTTCTTGGTCTGAATGCTGATCAGACACATACCTTAATCTTGTTTTCAAAAAACCCATCAGGCTGTATTCTAACATGTAGCTAAGCCTTGGAAACATTTACATATTAAACTTTTAGTGTCAGGTTTAACCACATGAGTGGGAAGCTTCCTGCTCTGTGAGTACCACAGGGACAAAACCCACAGTCAACCACCACCTAGTATTTTCACATTCGCTCCCATCTCACCACACTACTCACTGTGCTATGCAGCACAGGCAGGCCTCAAATTCATGCTATTCCAAGTGCAGGGATCATAAGGCATATGTCATGCTCAGCTTCATAATATAAATTAATTGGGGGGGGCGCTCTTTCTTGAGACAGCGTCTCCTAGTAGGCCTTGCTGGCCTGGAACTCACTATGTAGGACCAGGCTGGCCAAGATCTCACATTCACTTGAGTGCTGGGATTAAAGGCATGGACCATTGAGCCTAGCCATAGTATAATTTCTATGTAATATTTTTAATCCAATATAATCTAGTCAAGAGAGAATGTACAACAGCCAGTGTTTTAACTGTATACAGCTTTTCCTTTAAATTATCTTGCAAGACTTATAGTATGCCATAAGAATCAGTACTTTAGAATGTGCTAGCCCAAGGCTTCATTGGCATAAAGGAAAGCAGTGTGTCCAATTATACAAACATGCATCACTGTCTCTAGGAGATATTAACTAAATGGTAGGCAAAGTTTTATCTTTTTATTAAAGATATTTTATTTATTATTTTTATTTTATGTATATGAGTGTATTGCCTCCAAGTGTGTAAGTACACCTATGTCATATAATGCCTATGGAGGTCAGAAGAGGGTGTTGGATTCCTCTGGAATTGGAGTTACAGTTTTTAGGTGCCATGTGGGTGCTGGGAATTGAACCTGGGTCCTCTACAAGAGCAGCCAGTGCTCTTAACTGCTGAGTCATCTCTCCAGCCCCTTTATCTTTTTATTAGACTAATAACATATTCTATAAGCATAACTTACATAAGTTCTTTCCAGATTGCCTACCACTTCTGTGCCTCATCTTTTCTACTAATTTTACTATGAGGAAAGGGTTAATAATGACACACTTGGCAAATCTCTAGTGAGATTACTCACCAAATCAGCTGTACAATCCTAAGCACCTAAATGGTTTCACTGCACACTGTTTAGTCCAGCTGTCCTCATCTATGGCTATATACACAAGTCACCTGGGGAGCATATTTTGTGCATAGAGATATTTGTTTTTGAGATAGGGACTCGCTATATAGTCTAGTTGGCCTTACGATTCTCCTACCTCTTCCTCTCAAGTGCTGGCACTATAGGTATGAGCCATCATACCTGGCTTCAACTGGAGAGTTTTACAAAGTATTAAAATCTAGAAATTAAATTCTGATTTAATTGCTTTGAGTTGGAATTCTAGTCAAAGGGATTTTTCTCCTTTTATTTTATTGTGAAAAATTTTAAGTATACAGAAAATTGAAAGATTTTGCTATGAACATGATCATCATTCTAAATTCTAATTCTTTTTTTTTTTTTTTGAGACAGGGTTTCCTGGTAGCCTCAGCTGGCCTGGAACTCACTATGCAGACCAGGCTGGCCTTGAACTTACAGAGATCCACCTGCCTCTGCCTCCCAAGTGGTGGGATTAAAGGCATGTGTCACCATGCCCAGATCTCCATTCTAAATTCTACCATCAGCATTTTTATTAGCATTTTTTTAACTTATCACATATCCATTTATCATTCTCCTTGTGGGTCCACCAATCTATTTTCTTTGTGATGGATACATTTCAAAATAAATGGCAAATGTCATACATCTCCTACTTCTGGCATTAAAAAAACAAAACAAAAAACCTCCCTAGTTGATTCTGATGTGTAGCTAAAACTTAGAACCACTTATTTAGACTTTAGTGTTTCCACTGGGGTTGGTTTAAGTCAGGCTATTAGCTACATCAGTGGCAAGCTTCCTGCTGCTACCATGGGGGCAAAATCATTCACTCACATCTCATCCCAATACTCAGCAGAATAGTCTTAAGTCTATTGCCTATA